TACTAACGACAGCAACAAAAGACCCAATTTTAACAGTGAAAAGAATCTGCCAAACTCAAACTTATATAACATCTCTTTTATTGAGCGGTAATTTCATATAAACTCCCTCTTCAAAACTTTCCATCCATCCGAGATCCCTATTCTCTGTCTAGGCATAAATATACACGGAAATCAGAATCTTTGTTAAGTTTTGCTGCAATCATGCATATGACTTTTTAAAACTTCACTTCTCCTATTTAAACAGTCAAAGTCAATCAATAACTAATGTTTTTCATGGTTTACTTCTATTAGAAACGCCTACTCGAAAGTCATCAATTAACTAATTATTTGAGGGTTAATTGCAGATACACCCCCTTGTCGTCACGGCGGTTAGTCACTTGCTAGCCCTAAATGTTTTAGTACATGCAACCTCTGCCACCGCTCCACTAATACTGCTAAAATTTTTACCTCCGAGGGTTTGTATCTTACACACACCCACACCACCGAGCACACGCATGCACAACACATGAAAACAGGCGGGTACAAAGACGAGTCGAGTTGTGTTTGGATATGAATACAAAAATCGGTTAGTTTTGGGAAAAATAACGTGACTATACTCCCTTTAGCTGATTAAATTGTGTGTTAATTTCCATCCCTCATCAATATTAAAAACCATCCATGTAACAGAGTCATCCTGGGATTCGATTGATCGTCAGGTGGGCATATATAATAATGCGGGTACTTACAAATCGTTTGCCCTAATATTGGGATACAGTTCATGCACCCTAACAACACTGAACGTACGCTTTAAGGGATGCATAATCAATGGCGAGCCAAACCTAGTAGTAAACTTGGATATTGCTTATGTACAGTCGAAATGCTTATTTGTTATAAAGTGGCATGTCCTCTTAAACATAGAACGGGAGAAAGTGGATGACTGACAACTACCCCCCGTCACCGTAAGGATCCTTCGGAACATGGCCAAACACAATTCCCTAAATTACTTCCGAAAATTGGTAAAATCCGTCTGCTGGTACTCAAACAGTTTTGTTCCAGACTGTGTTTATCAGCTCTTCCTCATTCTGTGTTAGTGAATGTGAGATAATTAAAAGCCATACGCCATTGCGATTGACCTCATACTTACAACCCGAGTCCCCTACGTGGAACATTAGAGCAGAAGTAATTCCTTAAACCTGTGGACAAAGGCCCTAGAAAAAAATTTCAACCTTGATATTCTTGTCCCCCACACCCCATTTTTCTGATGTTTTTCAAATAAAGTCTATATTAGTTCCCATCCGATGCTACTTCGCCAATGGAACCCTGTCGTCTCTTCGAAGTGCTAAACATATAATTTTTTCCATATTCCAATTTGGGGAAACACCCCATTCATCCATAGTCACTTTGAGTCTGTTAAGTTTTATTCTGGTGACCAGTGAAGCAAAAAATACAGATTATGAATCTGAACTTTGCTGTGTATCTAATTACCTACCCACATCAGCCAAAATTAACTTAATTGCAAAAATAATAATTGAAAGTTAAAAGTCCATAATAGTTCACACTGGGATGTGGATAATTTTATTATTTCTTACAAAAGGCGTAGACTTACACACCTTCCCTGTGAGCTGACATTGTGGCTAATGTAGCAATATATGTGTATCGGAGTCCCAATGGGTTTAGACCAAACCAGAAAAACCTTTCCAAATGTTTAGCCAATTCATCTCGCACAATTCCCCGTAAACAGACTTTTCGTGTATAGGAACTAGATGTTGTCCTTGATGCACAAAGGAGTTAGTGAAACTCAGCACCTCCTTACAAATAATACACAGGAGATAATAAATTATTATAATACAGAGATAGTTATTTATTTATTTATTCAATTATTTTTACAAACCCATTTATATAGAACAAAGGAAAATTACAAACTTACGATCGCAAAATTCATCAATAGAATAAATATCATCATGCAACAAAGAGTAAAAAATTCTGATTAAGGAATAATCACCTTTAAATTTTAAGTCGTAAATTAAAACGACAACCAACTCCTAAGTAAAATCCAATAGTATACTGTTACATATTAAATTATGGCGTGCGTGGTAGAAATTTGGGATTTTTTTAGAAAAACTCCATACCAATATTAAAACATAATAGGTCAAAGCATTTGAGTATAGTTCACTCTCTAAACGTGTGGTATACGGAGGGGAGATTTGTGCTGATACATCCATTTTCCACCTCTCACAATAATGGAAATTTATCTACTAAAAATTTATTATCCTATAATCCATTTTCTCTTTCACAATAATTTCGCATAAAATCTAATTTCCAAATTTCAAAACTCGTAATTTTTTAGCAAAGTAAATCACCAGACAAGGTTCGTTAGAGAATATCACAAAAAATTAGGATTATATTTTTTTTAAGATTTTACCTTAATATTGATGATGCCCTAATTTCTGGTGAACTCCGGGGGTGACGGATGGCGGTGATGTCCGGTGGGCCGGCGACAGGGCCGACGTCGGTGTGGCGACGCAGTAGGGGCGCAGGTAAGGGCTGCGTCGGCCTGTCGGGTTCAGGAGAGCAGCTAGGGTTTAGGTGAGGGGCGTCGGGTTCAGGAGGAGTCGCGTGGGATATGAGGGCGTGGGTCACGGGAGTGATCGTGTCTGCCTTATATAGGTAGAGCGAAACTCCACAGGATTTGAAGTTCCGTGGAGTTGCAGGTCGCTTTTTCCAGAGAGTAGTTTCTCTGAAAAATGATCCTTGAAACAAACTTCACGGGACTTGAAATCCCATGAAATTTAGCAGCTTAATTAAATGGCTGCTAAATTTCACGGGAGTTCAAGTCCGGTGAAGTTTGGAAGCTTCTTTCGTCAAAACCGACCCAGTTTCAGCCCGATGGCTGAAACTGGGTCGGTTTTGACAAATATTGTTGAAACATGTCATTTTTTAGAAATATTTTTGAAAAAGGGTCGGTTTTGAAAATTTGTCCATCTAAATCGAGATTAAGGGTGAGCAAACGGTCGATCAGTTTGGTTTTTGATCAAAATTTGACCAACCGAACCGAACCGTCTATTATTTAGAACCGAACTAAACTGCTCCATGTCCGTTTGGTGCGGTTTGGTTCGGTTCAGTTAAGTTTGTTTGGTTCTTACCTGATATTGACACATTCAAATGTATAAAAAACTTAAACGCGCTTAACTTAAACAGAGTCGAAATCACAAGCAACAAACAAATAGAGAATAAATTGTCATCTGTATAAAGCTTTGAATAAACTTGAATTATTATCATTATGTAACAAAATACTGAATCCATCTGCTAAAGATGTAGAACATAAAAAATAAAATAATCTCTGAACTGAGCCTTTTGTTCTCAATTTGTGAGGGGTACTTGCGCTATAAGACTCCCTTAATTCCCTTAATTCCACCATAATAATCCTATAATTGTTCATAACTGAGGATAAATCAAAGGACTTTTTTAGTTGTTAGTGATAAAAGTATTCCTCGGTAATAATCATTTATGAATCAAAATTAATTTCAATACAGTTTACTAACATGCAACGAGAATTAAACCAATCTTAATTCAAAAATAAAATAAAAATTAGGGTTTCAGTTGATACCTCTACTGTAGGTGTCTCCAAAGTACGAGATGGGTCTCGAGAAGATGGTTCAGTGATGATGAAGAAAGAAATAGAGGAAGATAGACGTTAGGGTTTCAGAGTTGTTTTTGATCGAAGAAGTTCCAGCGGCGACGATGATGAAGACTGAAGTCTGAAGAGACGGTGGGTCGGCGGTGTTAAAGAGACGGCGAGTCGGCGCTGGCAAAGAGGCAGCGAGTCGGCGGCGATAGTGATGGTTAGGGCTGTTTGGGGGACAAAATTTCAAAACCAACATGTTTTAAATATTAATCTAAAAAAAGACACATTTCAAACTTAATTTTAAAAACCGGCCCAGTTGGCTGAAACTGGGTCGGTTTTTTGAAAAAAAGTTCCCAAACTTTACGGGAGTTGAAGTCCCGTGAAGTTTTTTAAACGTAAAAAACTTCACGGGACTTCAACTCCCATGAAATTTGGGAACTTTTTTTCAAAAAACCGACCCAGTTTCAGCCAACTGGGCCGGTTTTTGAAATTAAGTTTGAAACAGGTCGGTTTTTGGGATTTTTTTGGCAAAGAAGTCTGTTTTGAAAATTTGTCCGCTGTTTGGGAGTTTGGTTCCTGGGGAGCGTGTGAGAAAATTCAGAAAAGAAATGGATCTGAATGAAGCGGGTTTCCTAAATTAGGTATGAGTTTAGCGGGTACGGGTTACAAAACTAAGTTTGGTGGATGTGTTCAGTTCGGACAGTTCGGGTTGAAAACGTTTCAACCCGATCCGAACCACGCTATTAAGAAACCGCCCCGAATTGTTAATTTTCAACCGGTTCGGTCGGTTTTTTCGGTTTAAACCGAACCATGCTCAGCCCTAATCAATATCCTCTCAATTCTTACCCTTTATTCTTACTCTTTATTCCAATTTCAAGAGTTGAGATAAACCATATAATGTTTTCAATACTATCTTTAAAATCACTATCACGATAATGAAAATCATTACATCTTTGAAAATTGTGATAATGGGAATCCTAAAAAACTTCATCTCAATCCTTGAAATTAGAATAGAGGATTATAATTTAGGTAATGGAATCCTTTCCAATTACCAACTAATTGGAGAGGATTTCATTATAAATAGAATTGCTAAAATCTATTTATTGCTATGGCATATCTTTACATGATGATTGAAACAGCTAATCCAAATTTGAAAAAACAACATACAACACAAATACAAATGACGATACAGGAGCACAGTGTTGCAATGGATCCATAATAATATCATTGTTGCAGTTAGCTGTTACATGGAAAAAATCATCATCCCTCTTGGAGGAAAAAAGATTCCTTGTTTCATCCTCGCTAAAAGAAAAACGTTTCCTTCCATATGCCATAGACTTCAAGGACAAGACACGGAAAAATTTTGGTCAAAAGAAAACATTTACAGCTACAAACGATAAACATAACCAAATGAAAACTAAATTACATATAAATTACATCAATCACAATAAATAAAAAAATTAGGTCACTGGAGACCTGACAATCATTTTTCCCCTCTTCGTTTTCCTCATGCTGAATGGCCAATACAGTACTAGCAACCAGTATTTAGCACAACATGCCATGACAATGGCTGTTGTAATATTACAAACAAGGAACTTGACTTAAGAAGTTCGCTTTACTTTCCTTTCAAACTTATTTTCTTACATTTCATTATTCACCGTCTCTCAATTTTACAACACCATTTTCCGTGATTGGGTTTCCAGATTTAGAAGGCAGATGATTATTGGACGAAACGGGGATCACATTTACAGTCTGAGGTATCTGAGAATAAGTCGATGGCACTCTGGCATTGCCATTAACTACCGACTCCTTATAATTCAATAAGTCTGACTTCATTGTCATCGTTGGTGAGTACTTTGATTCTGTTACATCACAAACCCAAAAAAAAAATTCAGAATTTTAAAAATAAAAAATATCAATCCCTTACGAAAGGAACCACAATTAGGTTATATTTGGATATGGTCAAATGATAAATCTTTGTGAATTTGGCGACTTCTTGAAAATAAACTAGAATAACTTTAGGAATTAGACAGCTTGGTTGATTAAGTCCCTAAAATCATTTGAGTGAGTAGATGGGGTTTTTCTTATTTATCCCCATGACTCCGATCAAAGCATCAAGGAAATCATTAATCTTCTAATTTGCAATTTTGGTAACTTTATCATACACATTAGGGAGCATTCTTTTGACAATCTAGCAAGAATATAGTAGCTTCAGTTAGTGAATCTTGTTCTCGTCATGCAATATTTAAGATCATGGATCTGTTTCCTTTTTTCCCTTCTCTTTATTATTATTATTATTATTTGGGTTAATTTTTCTAGTTTGATTTCAGTTGCATGCAAACGTGACTGGATCAAGTCCATTCTCACACGAATAGTATTAAATGGCATAACCACAAAAATGGTTATTGACCATAACTTGGTCGGCCTGCAGCAAAACAGCCTTGTTCAATGGTTACACAGCTGCTCGCAGAACAGTTTGCACAAATTATCTACATGCTCTATAATGCAAAGTTGCTCTACTTGAAGACTGACTCGGAATAGGAGAACAGAAGTGCAATTTTCAGTGAAACAAACAGCAAATGCAATGAAAATTAACAAATGCTACAAACTATACGTTGGGCTAGTTTTTGGTCATGGGAAATGGCTTGGATGATGGTGAAGCAACAGATGGTTAAACTATCACTCAACAGAACACAAAATACTGATGGATCCTCCATTGAAACTCTATTCTTAACTTTGAAATGTGATGAAGATTAGTGGGAGCCAAAGCCTTTGGTGGCTCCATTTAGACATTAATCCCATTATTTATATGCTCTAAAGAAAAAGAAAACGAATGATAGTCCACTTTGATTTTGGCCAAGGCCTTTTCTACCCTACCCCCACCCCCAAACCAAAAAAAAACCCACAAAAAACTGATTTAATAAAAATAATATGAATATTACTATAGTACTTTGACACCACAAATAAATTCATTCTTGAAACACAAATAACTTTGACGATGTTCTCCTTGACCAACTAAAACTTGAGACAAATAACTATCTCTTACAGGGGGAAAAAAACTAAGGTGTTAAATATTAATAACTATTTTTATAAATAGTTAATGAATTTTAAAATAAATTCATCCTCCTCTAAAATAAATTTTCTCTGGTGTATCTCAGTACCCTACCTGTCTAGAAACTCTGGCTCTGCCCCTGGATGAAGATGTCTCAGCACTAGGTTACAATGCCCATTCTTTAATAGCAGTGCATGTATAACTAAAAATGTTGAGAAAATGGGTTACCACGAAAGAATTAAAAAATTCATTGATATCGCTTTTGAGGGGACAAAAAACTAATTTTGTTTTGTTTAATATGTCTAGATGCATGTTGCAATGTAAGTGGCGTGTGTGCATAAATTTGACAGAAACTTTACCTTTCACTCTTCCGCAATGGATAAGCTTAATGAGAGAGTCACGGAATGCTGTCAGGACGCTCCTCTCTTGATTGGCATAGACCTCTGACATACTTCGGTTTTGCGGAAACCTTGAAGATGTACTTTGGTTTTTGGACGTCACGAATAATGTATCTTGTTCATCACACATCAGCGCAAGCGTCCCAGGTGACATAGGCCTATCACTTTTCTGCTCATCAAGAGAGTCTGATCCAGAATCTTCTGTGCCAGTTTTATCAGCATTAGTTCCACTAGACCTATCATCAGCTGACACTTTCCGAACATATGGTTCTCTTTGGCTCTCATCCCTCTCATGGTTGGATGCAAGCAGGCTCTCTGTATGCTCATCTCTTTCTGCTGGCTTCTCCTCTTGATTCTTTTTATCTGCAAAATCTAACTTTGAGTTATATACATCAAAAATTAAATTAAAGGAGATGAGGAAATAGAAAATCAGACACTAATAATTGCGATAAGTATAATAGCCATTCCAAACTTAAGTGAATCAGTTAGTTACCAGACAGACTCCCTACTGTAAATTCAGCACGCACTAAAGGAAATAATCCTGTATACCCACAAGTAACAATGAGCTTGTCCACTAAAAAGGTTGTTCTCAAAATCATGCACACAGGTAAAGAAAGCAAGGAATGAAAATACAAGGGAAATATAAAAATGGAATTGGTATCATTCTCTATTCACGAAAAACACAGAAGGAACATCAAGTAGCTCTGACATAAAAACAAAAGATCCGGATGATTAACTTGAGTTTAAATGCCTTAGTTATGCATGTTCACAGAAAGATGAATGAAATGCTTGAACACGGGCAAAAACTCCTAGCTCACTAGACATACCAGGGTGTGATTTCGCAGCTTCTCCTGATACCACCACCAATATCCTGCAGAGCTGTTTTACGTCTTCTTGTTGGACGATATCTGCTAGAAGAGACCTGCAAGATAAACAACAGAGAGAACTTTTCGTTACAAATGTAATGGAAATGGTTGTTTGAAACAAAATCAACATCGATAAAACAGTAGACATTAATTGGGGTAAAGTAGAGATGGGTCATTTGTTCAAAGACTAGAAGAAAATTTCCACCTGTATGTAACTTTAGATGATCCTACTGGTGCAGGATTCACCGCACGTGCAACAGGAATGGAAGAGGAAGGAGGAGGTCCTGAAGACTTCAAATTACTAGCCTGATAAAGAAAAAGGATATCAAGCTCAACTAGTGCTTTATAAACTTGTTAAAAATCATCGTACATATAAATAATAAATGTACTAGGAAATAATGCTACTGCTTTGCTTCAATAAAATGATAAAAAATCAAATCCTCTTGCTACAATAGCAGAGTCAAAGGAATCTCATGTTGATAAGCTATTTTCCATGCCATTATTGCAATCTTTCAGAACAGACGTGGAAGCTGTTCTTGAAGGACATAGAGAAGATTTAACTGCAGACATTGTAGATTTACCTGGGGAAACGATGCAAGCCTGTGAACAGGTTGATCCTTTACTGATGTGGCATAAAAGAGATCATGGTTTTTCCTCTTTTTCGATGCTGGAGAGCCATAGCCAGAGGGACCTATTGCCCCATTTAAGACAGCATTTGCTGCTTGTTGCATATAGGTAAAGGAGCTTCCATGGTCAGCATGGAAAAGAGCTTTTCTCTCTTCACTTCCTTCAAAGTTCTTGCAGTCCATGCATTTACAATTTTCAGAACAGAGAATGTTAGCCTGGAAGCACTCACAGTACTTTTTGAGGCAGCCTGATTTTTTGCAATGACATCCTTTGTTGTGCTTCCCAACTATAGATCCCGCCTCTTCCTGCCATAAATGCTTCCTCTTAGCACATAGCAAAGTTGGAACTTTTAATGAAATTTTCTTTTGAGAACATGATTTGAATGACAATGTTAAAATATCAAGCAATCAAATTCATTATTGATGGTCAGAAATATATATATGAAAAGACTAATACCTAGAAATGTGTTTGTGTCCCTTAGGAGACAGGAGCTTTAATTTTCTAAGTGGTTATCATCTTCAAATAAGTGCCTTCTTTCCTTTCCCACAGGTTATTGAAAGTGTGGGGAAATGTCTCATCTCAATTGTAAATTAAAAAAAAAGACTTCTAAACTTGGACGCGTCCATATGATTTGGAACTGTAATAATATGTAAGAGAGCATTTTTACCTCAGAAGCATGTTTGTCTGGTTTCAATCCAATGCTTGTTCATGAAAAAAGTGAATGAGTAAAAGTGTGACTATAGAGAGCATGCTAGGGGGTGCCAACGGGCCAGGTATGGTAGGTTTCTGAGCATTTTGTACCCGAACCCAAAATATCAAGCAAAATTTTTAGAGTAAAACCCACAAGTCGGTTTTTGGATTAGCTTTACTACTTTCATGTGGGCTGTAAACGTATGACAAGTTAGGTTTCAAAATAGTGTACTACCAAAATAATAGTTTTCTTGGCCCAGAATCTAATTGTTTTATAACACATAAAGTTAGATTTCTTTTCAAAATTCTATAATAGTTTTCTTGGCCCAGAATCTAATTGTTTTATAACACATAAAGTTAGATTTCTTTTCAAAATTCTTCCACACAAAACGTTTAACACCACTTAATTGTTTTATAACACATAAAGTTAGATTTCTTTTCAAAATTCTTCCACACAAAACGTTTAACACCACTATTGATAATGTGCAAATAACAAAAAGATGCATAAATATTATGTAATATTGCATAAAGGTTTGTAATTGCAATAAATTGGCATGATGATGGATGAGAATGCTCAGTAAAGATGTCAGTCAAGCTTGCTTTCTCCCAACTTATTAGTTATCAAAAATTTGATACCTTCAAAAAACAACATAACCCAAGAACTCAAAAGAGACTTTAAACTAGTTGCACATCAAGACAGAAGTTTAATGTGCAGTTTCAGTATTCCTACATGGAATGGAAAACTTCCCAAGTTTCAGGTGAACTTGTCAATTTTGGTGACCCAAATGCATGAGCAGCATGACTACTTATATCTTAATGAAAGATTATTAATTTGCAGTGTCACCACATAATGTAGAAACCTTGCATCATCATCATCTTTAATTTTTCTTTGCTAGCCAAATATAAGATGCAATAGAACAATTTATAGTCATTGCATCATTCTCTAGACTTTAAATTCCGGAATCTCAAACCTCATCCTAGCTAAATTATAAGTTCCTTCCTACAAAATCTTGGCTTCAATCATCTTCGTCGTGTCCTGATCCATCAGGGCCTGATGTAAAAGATGCTTCAAATTTGACGTGCATAAATTTTCGTTTATAATAAGTAATAATCATCAAAAGAATTTATCGCATTAGTATCACTTTTTTCCTTACCAATCATATAATGTAAAAGAGGTCATGTCTGTATAAGGTTCAAGAAGATAACAAAGATTAAGGATTATGGTTGCAAATTATGGATAGTGAATTCAGAGAATACACCAAAATATGGATAGAAACACACCTTATTGTCCCTGACGGCATGTGGACTACTACCAATTTTTGGCCTAAATGCATTGGGGTTGCGTTCTAAAGTAACTTCAACAGCCTCATGCCTGGCAGCTTCATTTTCTACGTTGTTGCAACAGTTTGTACAGTTGCAGCCATCACAATAAACCCCTGCCGAAAAACACTCGCAATACCTGGCAATGCTTTGAAAAATTAGATGTGAAATAACATGGAAGGAAATCCAGCATTCAAAATATACTTATGACAAATGTAAATTCATAAATCCCAGCATTTTTGCTCAGTATGTGCACACCCGCATGCACGCGCACATGCTCATACACACTGGCACACATCAGTACAGAAGAGAATTATTAACTTTCATGATTTTCACTAAGCTGAAAGACTAATATCTAAAAGAACTTCCTAAAACGATGAAGAAAAATACGAAAAGATTATTCTCAATTTTTTATTAGTAACAATAAATTCACCTAATCTTTTTCACATGGACAAAATGGTAGCATTAGAAAAAGCTACAAGTTAGCATCAGGCTAATGACAAAGTACACAAATAATATTTAAGGATACTTTATGCTTTTGGCTATTTCATAAAGGGGTGTATATTTCTTGCTTAGCTATTAACTTACTAGGCAAAATGCTTCAAGAGAAAATTTAGGGTGGATAATGAATAAGGGTAAACTATGACCCATACCCATTATATTTTGAAAACCATGTGACATAGACGTAAAATGCACAATATCTTAAATGGATGTAGATTATCCTGCACAAGAAACAAGGTCAAACATGAATATACCATATATCTCGCTTCCATATTCTCCATGTTCCAACATGGAAGTCATGTTTAAATTAGTTAGTCGCCTCAGATTGCAAACAAGTAATATGCTGAGTCAAGCAAAAACTATAGTGTGTAGTAACAACAGACCTTTAAAGTTATACTCGATGGTGTGAAATATGTGATTATTGTTTCCTAAATATTTAGTTGAGCTATGTACAGTATCATAGGTAAGATTCTAATCTTCAGAAAATATAGAGACTACAAATAGGAAATAATTAAGTAAAGCATGTTTCCTTGCAAGTTATTGCATATATGAGGGTCTAACAGTTGAGTCTTTTGTACCTATCTCTACAAGTAAAATTTAATAGCTAAGAGATCATTTGCATTATTTCCTTCCCGGAATGACAATTGACAGCTACAGCATATGCTCTATCATCCTCAGAAGAGAATGACGTTTATTGAGAAGGATTAATGTAATTAACTTGGATCAAGAAATAAAAATTTAAGAAGATAAATTCATCAATTGTAGGTAAATATGAAGTTTCATTTCCAATTGAGCTCTTCCATAGAACCATGCTTGCCACAACTCAAAGGGTGTCATGAAATGTTTACTAAGAGCAAGGAACATCATGGTTCCATTTACATGTGACACACGACGTACATAATGTTGGAATAACGATAATTCAGACACATATTCTTATATGTCATAAATAGACGTCAGTGTGTGAAAACGTCTAAGAAACCTACGATATTAATGAATAATAAGCATCCCCTCTATCTCCAACAATCCAGAACAATCTATTAAACACAACCTTCCATAAACTAATCTTCTGTTATTTAGAACCTTCCATTAGCTAATAAAATTTTAGGTATCCAAAGCAGTAGGCGTAACTTCCTTATAAATCATGAAACATAATTTCACTAGCACCTGTCATAAATAAACATAATTCTGCATTATATAATTTAAGATGATTGTCATACAATAAGGGAGCATCAATATGAATCTTGAAAATTATCGCTGTTTGAGTATTTTAAATATTTTCTTATTATTTACCCTTCAAGTTTGCAAGATTCTGCATGGAAACTATGGACGAGAGGAGATTGCCATAAATTCTTAGAAGACCAGTCAGAAGATAAGAAAATCTGCTCGAGTATTTTATTGCTCACGCAGCCTAAGAGGAAGCTCATGCAATTGATGAGCGACCTTCCCAAGTTTACTATGGTAAGCATCTACAAGTAGAGAAAAGATAGCAAATATGCAGAATTAAATAATATTCAATTCTAAGACAAAGATAAAGACAAAAAAAACTATAAATGCCTAGCCTTGAATTCTCATGAGGACCACTTGTTCAAAATAGTAGGATCCAATGTAAGAGTGGTTGTCACAAAATTCACTAGTAAATGTAAACAACCTCTTTTATTTCTGCCGCACACTATCCTCCTTGATCTCTTGGAATATTTTCATTAACACCCGCAGCATACTTCTACCCATTCTCACACTCCTCCTTCTTCTCGGTCTCCTTTGAAAACAAGATAAGTTCCTTTGTTATTGACTTTGAGCTACAATGAGATAAGGCAAAGGCCTCCAGCTTTCTCCACCAACCTCTTTCGCACAATTCCGTTCTCTCTTTTGCAATTATCAGTGTTTTAAAAGCGAAAGACCCTAGCGTCTCAGGTGCTCATGCGAGGTGATATCTTACCTTAGTGCCTTTCATATCGCAAAAGAGATGAAGGTTACTAAGGTGAGAGCCTTTCGGCGCCTCAAGAGCTCACAGAGGCGTCTCAGGCGCTTACCTAAGGCATGCGGGAAGGAATGAAAGGAGTCTCTATTTAAATTTTTTGAGGGTGTGAGATTTGTCCGATAAATTATAGTTTGCTTTTTTTCCTTCCTTTTCTCTTGGTTGATCTTTTGCTATTCTTGTTGTAGTTAACCTTAGTGTGCGCGGGCGTGTGGCGCACGCGCGTGATCTCTAGTGCATTCTAGAATTTGACCCTTGAAAGCTCAAACTTTGTTGTTAAATTACGCATGTTAGTAGTTCCTAGTTAGTATTATTATTCACTATCTGTTGCCTACTGCTATATGTAGATGGCCTGTGTCTTGTCAGGTACCATAAGTTGTGACTTCAGTTGTAAAAGATTTGTCCTGTTGGTATGGTGTTTAATTGCATATTATTTGTATATTATCTATAACATTTATGAATTTCTTGAAGATTATCGCCCCGGTTCACTGAGGCAATCGCCTTTTTTGGGGCCTCTCGCCACATGCAACATAGTACTTTATCACCTTGACCTCACCTTTCGCTTCTAAAAACTGGCAATTATATAAGAATGAAGCTATAGGCTTTAGTTAATATTTCCTTATAAAAATCTACACTTCTTTTCTTCAAAATAAGTTATAGGCCTGACATGCATATGAAGATGAAGGTTTTAGAATTAGAGAACTTTGCAGAATCAAATAAGACCAGGAGTGCATCTGAAACTAGGTCTGATGTCTATGACATTGTGTAGTCTTCACTATAAGATGTACTAAAACGGATATAGCCCACTTCTTGCAGACTTGCAGAATCATTAACAACATCTGCATACCACTGCCACTACTTTCACTAGCAACATAAAATCTAATTAACAATTCTTACATGCATTAAAATATGTCACAAAATGGGTGAGATTCACTGTGCTCTTCCAGTCTATAAATGATGTTTATGTTTAGAAAGATATCACATACAAGATATTGTACCATTAAATTATAAAGAACTACTGAACTACATATATTATGCCCTCCATGCACGTGAAAAAACATTAACAAACAGTAAGCAGTGAATCAAAACTTCATTTTGGCGTAAAATCCATGTAAACAATGTAAATGAAGGCATAGAACATACAGCTTCAGGCATCTTGAATGTTTACAATTGCAATTCTTTTTCCTTGTTGGGGTACCGTCTTTCACTTCATATATAGGTCTCGGTCGTGATTTTGGTGACTCTGGCTTCCTGTAACAGAAAATTACAAGGAGATAATTTTATGTGATTTCATTCTTACAGTAAAAGTATCTAAAGAAACATGAATCTTGAAGGTAGATATCTATATGTTTGAAAGATCATAGGCATGTACCACATATATATAACAAAGACAAAAAAGAGATCCCAAATTTTGGGGTAAGCATGCACCATAGAGTGTAGATATACAGTACATTTCTGAGAGAAAAAAGAGATCCCAAATTTTGGGGTAAGCATGCACCATAGAGTGTAGATATACAGTACATTTCTGAGAGTGTAGAAATACAGTTCACTTAGCGGTAAGCATGCACCATAGAGTGTAGATATACAGTACATTTCTGAGAGTGTAGAAATACAGTTCACTTAGCGGCAAGGTTTTAAATATCGGTTATTGGGGATTTATCGGACGGTCAAAATCCTTATCGGATAGCGAAAATCGGGGATATATCGGGGATAAGTAGGATTTATCGGAGATATACTATATGGTGTATATATATATAATATAATAACCAAAAAATGTAATCTAACCATACTTAATGAGATATAAACATACCAAAGTATAAATAATCATGTTTAGAATCACTAACCAATTGTAGAAAGCAAGTCGGGTCGGGTTTAACAACTCACTAAATAACTGCCCATTACCCGAAAATTGAACACAAAATTTGGCCCGATAAAGCCGATATTTAGAGCCTCCCTTATCGGCCAATAAGTACATTTATCGCCGATAACTCACCGATAAATCCTAAAAAACGATAACCGATTAAAATTCCTACTTATCCTAACGGAAAGCTCCCAAATCTGATAACTCGGCGATAATATCGGATTATCGGCCGATATTTAAAACCATGCTTAGCGGTTAGCCGCTTATTTTGCAAGAACCAGGGAGCTATCGAAGGAGGATAGCTGAAAAGTCAAGGTTTTGAGGGAGGAACAGATGAATCTAAAGAGGTGTTACAAATCTATAATTATGAAACCCACAAAATGTGGCATATAATTGGGAAAATTCATGATTTCAAAATCAGAGTAAGTCTGCTGTCTCCTATTATCGGTTCGCATATGGCACAATAACTTTACAAATCAAAGATAACTCCTTTATACCAGTATTTAAATGCAATAGAAGGAACTAAAGAGCCGCATCAAGTTCCCAAATTTTGAAACTCCAGAATTTTGAACTTCATAGCTAAACACAACAGAAGAAATTCAATTAACCATATAATTCATGAATTGTTAAACCAAAGGAAACAAACTTACTTCCTCATCAAAAATTCATATAAAATTCACAGTAAATTCAAAATAACCAAAAGTTAACTACTAACCTCCAAAAGTAACAGCAATCGAGCACCAAATCACAAAATCAACAAAAAGTAACAAAAAAACCCAACAAAATTCAAACTTTACAACAAAATTGTAGACCCAAGGTTGAACAGAAAACTCACACCGAGATTGGAACTGAAGGCCGCGGTATCGGAGCAGCAGGACACGTCAGATGCTGCTTCTGTGGAGGCGGCTGCGGAGTAGGAGCAACCGCGCGCCTCTCCGGAAGCCGCCGGCGGTGTCGCGCCGGAGTACGAGCCGTGAAATGCCGAACGAGCTTTTTCGGCGGGAAATCCGACGGCCCCGATGAAGTCCCTTGCTCCATCAGAGCCGTCAAAATCTTCACCAAATCGAAGAAATGGACAAAATAAGAGCCAGAAAAATGAAAACAACAAATATTTCAAAGGAATTCGCTCCGCATCAATTTCAAAACCCCTCAGATCAAAAAGATCTCGTCCGCTGACGACGAATCGAACAGTAGAAATCAAATTAAGAGATAAACCAAAAGGCTTAAGAGAGGATTACGAGAGGATGAAGAAAGGATTAGGGTTTAATTTTGAAAGGGGAGAGGAGCATCGAGAGAGGGGGAAGAAGCTAATGATCTTTTTCTCTCTCCCTCTCTAGTTTTTGAAATCAAATTTTTTTATTGGACTGTGGGATTTTTATCAGGATAACTTTTGATGGCTGAGATTTGTTATTTGGATCGTACGGATAAAATTCATAGGCGTCGAGATTCTAGGTTGGTGGCCGTCGGATTTTAAAGGACGGCTGGTTTCTCCTCGTTGCTTATCGCTTCATTTTATTTTTTTTTAATTAAATAAATATTAAATTAAGAGCATAAAATAAAAGGCGAGAGGAGAAATTTTCCCGCTAGAAATTATATGACACGTGAATGTTTGAGATTTGAAGTTTTTGTACGATTTGTGAAGGACGGTAGAGATTTCCCTAATGTCTCTGTCTTAAAATTTCTAGATGGGTGCTCTTTCCATGAGTTTTTTTGCATGTCAATCTATTCCTTTATACAAATAGGAGGATCAGAGATTCACTGTTCATGCTACAGTAAATGCTACAGCAGTATTTACTGTAGCATTATTACTGTAGGTAATAATTAATTAAAAATATTACTGCAGCACACGGGTATACTGTAGCATTTAAAAGATACTGTAGCAGTGCGGGATACTGTAGCACTTTTAAAAATTCAAATCATGCCATATTAAAAAAACGGGATTACTGTAACAAAAAAAAATACCGTGCGCAAACTAGTTCTTCTCAAATTGAGGATTATGTTACAGTTTATATCCAATTTTGGCAATTGATGGCCTCTTCGTGCTAATAATGTAAAATCGTCCCGCTAAAGTAGCTTTACTCAAATTGTTTTTTCTACAAAACATAAAATTTGTATTGGAAATATATTTCCTATAATACAAATATAAATATTTAAACAAAAAAGTTAAAGTTAATTTCCTGCAACAAACAAATTCTATATACATGTAACATTTGTTGCTGTAACATCTGCTGTAATTTATTTTTGTAACAAACCGCATTTTGCATTCATGACATAATCAATGTTCATCAAATATAAGATATTACTCCGTTTGTCCGGACTAACAACATTGTTATTGGACTATATAACAACTATCGAAAGCCTATGTAAGTACCTATTTGTATAAATTTGAGCATGTAAAAAAACGCAACGCAAAGGAATATGATATATTGGAGGGGCAAATTTTCAAAACCAACCTTTTTGATTTTTTATTTGTAAAAAACGATCCATTTTCAAAATATTTGTAAAAACTTCACGGGAGTTTAACTCCCGTGAAGTTTAGCAACTTAATTAAAAGCTGCTAAACTTCACGGGAGTTCAACTCCCGTGAAGTTTCGGAAACTTTTTTTCAAAAACCGACCTGGTTTCAGCGCTGAGGCTGAAACCAGGTCGGTTTTTGCAAATAAAACTGAAATAGGTCGTTTTTTACAAATAAAAAACCAAAAGGGTTGGTTTTGAAAATTTGTCCTATATTGGAGGGCGGCTCAATAGGTCATATGGCAATGTCTTATCGCTCTTTCGTATATTGGGCCCATATTCGATTCTCGTGTGCCCTAAGGACGTCATAAAAAAAATGATATATCGGAAGTTGAGATATGGATCTTGTGAAATAGTAATTGTTTGCTTGAACGATATATTGGAAGTTGAGATACGGATCTTGTGAAATAGTAATTGTTTGCTTGGATAATTTCTACTGGACCCGTACTTTGAAAGCTAAGTTTGTTTCAGTTTGATTCACATTCACAATGGTGACCTTTGATAGATCCTTGTGTTGGACTGAAGTTCAATATTGCAATATATACGAATAAACAGAATTCAAATGCTGACTCTGAGCCTTCCAGCCGAGTTCCTCTGGCCTGTTGGCCCACCTTCCCATGTAAAAAAATGTTTTCTTCCGACACGGTGAATAAGGGGCTGTTTGGTTAATGTATTTGGCATTGGGGGTTAGACAGAATGCCTGTCAAAAGAGCACTTTTGGCAGGCTTTCTGCCCAACCCCCAATGCCAAATACAGCATTTTTGACAGGCTTTCTGCCCAACCCCCAATGCCAAATACATCAACCAAATAGCCCCTAAATGAATTAGTTTGATATATTTGACAGTTAACCGAGTTATATGTTTCAAATTCCATACATTTTCAATCTGTACAGATGACCATCCATTTTGTATAATTTTTTTAGAAATAAATAATTTAAATTATACAAAGAAAAACATTCAACTTAGCATATATTGTATCCCTCCATTCTAGAGAGTGTTTCGTTAATTTTTTTTTAATGAAACACTAGGGATACTTCGAAATTTCTAAGAAGACATATTCGGCTTAGGAAGATATTGCTGCGCGTCGGCGGAAACGTGTGCACAAACCAAACGGGTCATCGGGCAATTTGTCACGCCCCGCTTCCCAAAATACCGGGGAATCGGGACGCGAGCAAGCCCGCGACGTATTAAACTGAGAAGAGATAAGTGCTAGACCCCGTTTTCTCAATCTAATACGCTAAGCGTCAAGAAATACAAACGAAGGCACAGGTCCCCGATCACAGTAATGAGAATATAATAAACAACTCAGAACCAAAAGATACATATCACAACTGAAATGATCATCCAGACATAATATTCGGGCCAAACATGCCCTTATACAAACTATCTGAATGAAATACTGGAGAATATAAAATACAATGATCAGGCGGAAAAGGAAATGCTACGAAAATAAACTGAAAGGAATAACTGAACTTCAACTCTTCTTCTGCTTCGTCTACAAGACACTCCTGCTGAGAATACTCGGCTCTGGCGCATCTCCAAGCTGAACCTGTTCTTCTTCTAAGTCTGACGTACACCAGAGAAAACAGGTGTACGTCAGGATGCAGGGCACACGGCAAGATCCCAAAAGGAAGAATAGAACGGTCGTGCGACCAATGCAAATGATGGTAATAATAATGGAAACATGCAACTGAAATACTAATAATCTAAATATAATTTACTACTAGAATAGAATAATCATAATAAATCCAAGGGAATCAACCAAGTAACAAGTCGATCATGCAGCTAGTGATCAGAATAATCATCCAAGTACAGAGTTATACACTAGATGGAATTAATACTTAAAAATCTACAACAAGAGACGTAGTACGTCGAGCGAAATAATCCAAACAATGAAACCCTCATGTATATACCATATGTCTCAAATTATAGATAATTAAATATTAATCCCGATCTATGTATGAAAAGCGAACTTCAAACAGAACCCGAGTGACGAAACGATTTCACTGACTAAAGTGATGTACACACTTCACTTTAGCCCTACAAACCAACCCCGGTGGCGACACCAACCACAGGAGCGAGCCTGGAAGATACATCAACAATCTTATCCGATCACATGAATATTAACTTCCCCATCCCAACTCTCTTGTTTTTCTAAGTTATCATACACACAGGTTTCTAAGTCTTAAACAGGACACACTAGGCCACACTAGTCATGAATTTCTAACGATTCTTAAACATAACAAAGAGTAATAAATGCAAATAATCATATACAACAAGATCATAACATATCACATAATTAAAATTAAGAAACATAAATCATGAAAAATTCATAATAATCCCTTTTCTAAAATAAATCTGGCGTAAAATATTTATAAATGTTCTAAAATAATCCTTTTTATAAAACTTTCTAAAATATTTATAATAATTCCTTTTATAAAACTTTCTTAAATTATTGAAATTATTCTAAATTGATACTTATTCTAAAATAAATTCTTTTAAACTATAATTATTCTAAAATAATTCTTTTGTCAAATAAATTCTATTGTTTTATTATAATTACTCTAAAATGATTTTCACCAAAATAATTTATTATAATTATTTTAAAATGATTATTTTGTCAAATAAATTCTTTAAAAAACATAAATTAATCTAAAATAAATTTATTTTATTTTATCTTTACAGTATCTATTATCATAATATTATTTTAATATCATTCGTCAAATAAATCCGTACAAGTCATCACAGTATATGTATTACAACGTGAATGGTCATACGTTATTGTCCACAGTCCGTTTCGTTCACGACAATTCTATACGTTATAGTTCTCAGTCCAATATGTTCACGACAGTTCCGTATTTGTAACGAATAATTATTCGGGTAACGAGTTCGTATGCATAATAAATCTGTAATCAATCTAAAATTATACTGAGCAAGAATAGGGATCTTGCAAGCAACTAATTAAATCAGGGCGGTCTAAGAATTGAATGATAAGTCAAAGGAGTATCGGGATCTTGCCTGCGGGTTATATCGGGACGCGATACGTTCGTTACCTGGGTGCGATAATACGGGTCCGCGTGATGAGGCGGTGACGTGCTACTTGTTTTTCGTATTCGGTGACGTGTGCAGCGTTCGAGGGGCAACGACGAACTCGGCAGCGACGGGATCTGGCAGACGTGGTTCGGAGTTTCGCGAGCTAGCGCAGTTGGGTCGCGGCTGCAAGGGCGCTGGGTGTGGCTGCTGGAGTTAGGTGGCTCGACAGGGTTGTCGCTGCGCACGGAGGTGGGCTGACGTGACGGGGGTTCACGACTACAAGAGGATGGAGGCGTCGTCGGTTGGAGGATGGCTGTCGGTGGGCTTCCGATCGACGGCTTGGGAGGCTGCGAAGGCCTAGGAGACCGAGGAGGCTCGGCAGCAAGCGGCGGTAGGGGCTCAGTGGGCGAGGGGAGAGAGCGCGGCGGGCGAGGTTGGATCTGAGAACAGGGGAGGACGCTGGAGGTGGTTGGGTTGGGCCGCTCGGGTGGAGGTGGCTGTGGGGCAGAGCGGTGGTGGGTCAGGGCAGAACGGCGGCAGAGAGGCGGCGCTGGTAGAGCGGAGCCGCTGGGTGCGCGGCTCAAAGCGTGGAGCGTTCGTCGGAGCTGCTGGAGGGAGAGGGGGCGCGGTAGAGTCGGAGGTCGGCTGGGAGAGGCGGTGCTGGCCAAGGGGGGCGACGAGGGCTGGCGCGGGTGTCGGAGGCTAGGCTGGAGCTCGTCGGCGACTGCGGGCTGAGCTCGAAGAGAGAGAAGAAAGAAAGAGAGAGAGAGAAAGAGAGAGGTGAGTAGTAAAAGAGATG